TTGTGTCAGGTATGTTAAGAAACAGTGTTATTAGTTTCTTATTTGCTTGAATGTTTGCAAAGTTTTAGTAATTATTGATGTAACACATCCCTACATTTTAATAATGTAATTAAATTTTCTTTGGAACTAGATATTTTTCATTTATTTTAAAACTGCTTAAATTTATTCACAATTAACATGTTAGTTTATTTCTGATCCTTTTCTTTGTGTCCCATCTTTTAGATTTTCTTCCTTGAGATATTCCCCATCCTTTTATAAATATTGTGTCCATCCCTTCCCGACTGGGGTTTGATTCCCGACACGGCTAGAGGATTTTTCCTCTGCGTCGAGACCGGCTCTGGGACCCATTTAGCCTCCTGTCCAGTGGGTACCGGAGTACTTTTCCAGGGGTAAAGTGCAGCCGGGGCATGATGGTGACCACTCACCCCTGTCTAGTGCTGAGATTAAGAATGAGTAGGAGCTATACCACCTCTCCTGCCAAGCGCCTACATGGCATATAATGGGCCAGCTTAATGTTGTGTCCATTCTTTTATTCATTTCACATTTATAGTTGCAGAATGTTTGTAGGTCTGCATTGGTTAAAATATTCCAGGCTTTGCTTGTCTTATAAAATCCAACAGAATGATAAAATTATCTACATTTTGTAAGCAAGCTTCATTCAACATTTACACGTTTTTCTTTATTTTCCTGCTTGGTGCATTGTATTCTTTCGTACATCCAGTTTCTTTGCTTTTTTCTCTCTTAACCCTTCAACCCCATAGCCCAAGAACATACTTGCAGCTAGAAGTCTCCTTTATCAGCAGCATCCTGAGTACATGCCGTTTGCAGGCACTGAGACAAATTATTGCTGCGCTATCTGTTGGATTTTTGTCATACTATTTAGATCATGAGTCCTCAAAACATTGCACTTTCCATTTCTTCCATCGGTTTGTTCATAGAAACGACTTTACACGAGGTATTTCCTTTGCTTTCTTGACACTCCTGCTGTTTAAACCAGGAAGCAACACGGCCTATCCTGGCCTTTCACCCCGCCTGAATTTGGAAATGACGGAACCCGTTAACAGAGACATTAGGATTTGTGGTAGTGTGAGCGAATTAGACTGTGCTGAAGACGAAAAGAGTGTTGTGGTTGAAAAACCACCAGATAGTGAGGAGAGTGAAGCAGATATTGTGAGGGACGCAGAAGACAAGTTAGTGAGCAATTTTCTATTGAAACAACTGCAGGGTGATTTTCTAGTGAAACAACTGCTGGGTGATTGGAAGAGGGAAAAACTTGACACTTCGTATGTCACAAATTTGTTACTGACAGGCCATTTAAATACCGTCACAGTGTTAGCTTAGTGGATATATAAATACTGGCTTTAAGGGCTAATATTCCCATATACTTTGACATAGTTCACATTTACTTTTGTCCTATTTCTGTTTGATTCTACATCTGTTTCATTGCAGAGAGGTGAGATAAATATGTGATCTGCCCTTTTCTAAATCCATTCTCTTCATCTACCAGTATTCTGTCCGTACATGCAAATTTTATATGCTCATAACATATTATTTTGTATGACTTTTTCATCAGGGTCAACTTATCAACAAGTCCGTCAAGCTCTCCAGAGTAATTCGCCAACAAGTCTGCCTGGTCGCGAGGAACACTTAAGCAGGATCCACGCATTTCTGCATGATCATTTAATAGCTGGCTCATCAGGCACTCTGTATATATCTGGACCCCCAGGCACTGGAAAAACAGCCTGTTTATCCAAAATTATGGAACTTCCAGAGGTGTAGTATGGAAATTAACTAATTTTAGTCTATTTCTGTAGATATATCTGCATCAGTGCATTAACAGAATACTGATTCAGAAGGAGAAATATTTTCACTGCTACTGTTTTAGGGTTTTCTGATGCAATAAGCAAGGATAATTAATTGTCATGATAAATGTATTTGTAACTACAGCCATATTAGTGTGGAGTAGATCTGTCTTGAGTAAGAACCCACTGTGTGATCAATGATTCCATCAGCGTGTTATTGGTTAGTAACAGTAGTTGATCTTTCGGAATTTTGTTTTGTGTTGTTTAACTGTTAAATTAAGTGTAGCATAATGTTACTTCCAGTGGTGACTTGTGAGTGGACGACTGAAGCTATCATGGCAGTCAGCTGCGTCAGCTGATAATAAAAAAAACCTACATTTTGAGAACTGTCTGGTCCTCATCATCAGGGATCCAGAAAGTCACATATTAATGGCTCCCTGGACCAGTTGCTGCAAGACTGAGTGGCTGTTGGGGCTAGTCGGCAGAGTCTGCTTGGCCTTGCTTTGGTGCATCTGTAGACCATTTGAGTAGATCGATTACTGGGTGCCGTGTGTGACGGAGTAAAACCTTTGTGACTGTTAAAGTTGCTGGGATGTAGATCAATCTCGATGGCTTCCCTCACGAGACGGTCCATGCACCTAGTAGCCATAACTTGATTGGAGAGACCATCAAAATTGATACAGTCCGCTGTATTGACCCAGTGTTTCCCCACTGCTGACTTTTCCAGTTATTTGAGGTGGACATGCCTCATATGCTGTGTCTAGCCTCGTTGGTTCTGCCGGTCTGCCCCACACACACTTTTCTGCATTCACAAGGGATGCGGTAGATACCGGTAGCTCTCAGACCTAGTTCGTCCTTAACCAGTCTGAGAAGATGGATATTTTTCTTGGCTGAAATGTAGATGGTCTGGATGTTTTATTTATCAAGCAGACTGCTGATCTTGTGATCTTGCTTTTTATAGCAAATTAAACTCTTGTTAGGGTGAAAGCATGTGAAGCTATGCATACTTTTTGTGACAGCCGACACATTATACCCCATTTATGTTTTGACCTACTTTAAACAAAGTGGCCAGTTTCATTGTTGATTAAAAAAAATTTCTTCTCATTTCAGTTTAAAAGTGGCTACAAAATCGTGAACGTTAATTGTACCTCCATGAAATCATCTGGTTCTATTTATGCAAGAATTGCTCAAGAACTTGCCTTGAAAGTGTCAAAACAAACTGAGAAAATCTGTTTGGCAAGTATTGAGCGATATTTGGCTTCAAATCATAAAATGATGTAAGTATATGTTTCGCACACATTTAAAACTTCTTGCTTTAAACCCTGTGAAGAAGAATAGTTCCATTATTTTTTGCAGATAAATATTTTTTTATGTGTAGAATTGTTCTTTTAGACTTTGTCCATTGTCTGAAGTATGTATAAGATGATAATGTGCCATTATAAACCTTCAGATATCTTTGCTTGCAGTTTATTGGTGCTCGATGAAATTGACCAACTTGATAGTCGGAAGCAGTCTGTTTTGTACACAGTTTTTGAATGGCCATCGGCACCCAATTCAAAGTTAGTCCTGATAGGAATTGCTAATGCACTAGATCTTACAGACAGGATATTACCTCGCCTACAAGCGCGACTTGATCTCAGACCTGAGCTCCTCCACTTTGCACCGTATACAAAGTTGGAGATTGTTAGTATCCTCACAGAGAGATTAAAGCAGGTAAATATTACAGTAAAGATTTGGTGTTACAGTACTGCCAATCTAGAAAACTTGGATTGCAAGGATTGTTACTGTATTTACTTGAACTATATGAGCACAGTTTAAAGTATGGCAAGGTTTATAGATTGCTTTTATTACTGTCCAATTTAAGGTTTTTGGGTGCTGTATTCCCCTCTAACTTTCAGTCAAGAAGGAAAGTGTTAGTTTGAATGAATAGAGGTCATAGCAACTAATAAGAGTATCTTGCAGTTGAGAGTAAATATAGACCTCTGTTCTTGTGTTTGCTTCTCAAGTTCTGAAGCATATTTTTTCTGTAAAGTTTACAGCATAGATTATACTGGTAAATGATAGGCTGTGCCGTACTGTTTGAGAGATGAATGTTTCCATAAATACTACAAATATAAATATATCAACTGTTATTTTTAAATCTTTTGATCAGTTAGGTGTGTTACTATTCATACTGTTTATCATTCTCCAGTTTATTAGATTCAAAATTGGGAAGATTGTTGTGTGGATGAAATATGGGCGAGAAAGTAAACAAATGGTTGGAAATCGATACATTTCCTTCACATAAAGTTTGTTCAATTCAAAAATTGTTTTTGAAACTTTATTTGTAGTCTGGTGTTTCTGCAATGTTCCCATCAGTTGCTCTTGAGCTGTTATCTGGGAAAATAGCATCTACTTGTGGAGATGTAAGGAGAGCGCTAGATATTGGCCGAAGAGTAATAGAATTGGCAGAGGTTCGGAATCAGACAGTGCCCCTGCAACCAACTGTGGATCATGGTATGTATATATGATATGGGGTTTTAATTATATCCATTATTTATATTGTCATCTGGGACCATGTATGAACTTAAAGGGATGTGTTTCCTTAATAAAATAACTCTGAATTTTTTTAAAAAAGTTGAAATATTTGTAGTTCTCCGCAGCCAATTTTTCTTTGTTCTGCCACAAAACGTCAAAATCAAACAAATATCTGAAAACACTTCAGAAAAGCATAAATTCACCTCATAATCCCTCTCATAAAATCCACACCCTCTTAGGCACCTTATTCCATCAATTGAAAAATATTGAAGTCTTACATGTGAAATTGGAATGATAGATATGTGCGAGAATGGATAAACGTATTTGCTCCAGACTTGGCATCCTTACATTGCCACCTTATAATTGAGGCTGACCACAGTTTTGCTTAACTTCGTTGTTCTCAGTCTCTGAATTTTATGCTTCTCAATTTTCAGCTTCCAACACATCAAGCCCCAGAAAATCACCTCGAAAGAATCCTGATGCAGGATGTGTGGCTCTCAAGGAAGTCATGGCAGTCCTGAACAGTGTGTATGGTACTTCACAGTCATTTGTCACTGACTCTGATGAAAGTTTTCCGTTACAACAAAAAGTCCTTGTTTCTACATTGCTTCTTATTCTCAAGAAGGGACACAACAAAGACGTCACTGTGGGGAAGGTACAGTAAATTAATTAGAGATTATGTTTTGTTTAGAGATCCCAGCTGTGATATACAAGTATATAACACACACACAGATGCACGGTGATCTTATATTAGACATACAAATTTTAGTGGTGAATTTCACATCCAAAAACAATTATGTAAGTTCATATAAACTTGATTCTGCAGATCATTGGCTTTTGAGCTGGGGCCAGAAGGTTGAATAAAGTAACTTAATGTATGCTGCGTATTCATTTTCCTTGTACACTTTGTGCATTAAAGGTAACAGCAATCATTTTATTAAAGCAAATGCTTAAAATGTTGACCACTCACTTCAACACAACACTTCGCACTTCGCATAAATGTCTGCCACACCAGTAAACGTCCTTGGAGTATTCTGAATGACCCAGCATCCATCTGCAGCAAACTGCTGTAGGTCTGCCACATCATTGCCTGTACTAGCATATGCCAAACATTTTGTATATCCCCACTCACAAAAAATAAATCCAGCAGATGAGTGCGAGGGAAGCGCGGGGGCCATGTGATTGTTCTGCTGTGTCCTGCCCGTCATTAAGTGAAGATGTTCTCTGGCTATGGTGGTGAAATGAGGTGGACCACCGCCATGCATAAACCACATCTGTACTCCAGCAGACTGTTGGCTTTGAAGTTGACATAAGAATGCCCTCTCGACCTTTGCGGCCAATCAATTTGTTTCCTAGTATTCCTGCCCACTGGTTTATTGAGAATTGATGCTCCTGTCTTGATTGGAAAGTGGCATGAGGATTCTATTCACTGTTGTTAATATATTAACCCTCATCAGTCTTATTTCTTACATCTCATGGGTCTCAGACCTTCATATGCAGATGGAAGGTAGTATAGTTAGATGATGACTGATTAGTGCCATCTGGTACACTTTTAATGCTGTGTACATACATTTTAATATTAATAGTATGCACCACCATTGTGTGCTGGGCAATTTGACATAGAGCTATGCTGTGCTGTGTGTGTGTGTGCAGGTACTATTTATGCTCTCTAGGAACTTTGTCCATCAAATTTCCAGCTTGTAAGCAGGGCCCTAACTCTGAAACTAAGTATTTATGGACCCATGTCTGTATGAAATTGTATCATTGTTTTTGCATGTGCAGTTCACCACTAAAACCTTTATGTGTAATATCGATTACATTGTGTTTAGGATTAGTTTGTGTTTAGCTTAGGGTGAAATAGGTTTAATTTGGAATTTGAGTCACATGTGGTATGTGTTTAGTTAATTTTATAATGAATAGACCAGGCTCTGAAAACAATTATGAAGCCATTCTAGCAGCATTGTTGAAATTAATGTTTCCAACAAGTGGAAGAAATTTGCAACTTATTTTAAATTGGAGGGAATTGACCTTTAAAAAACAAGCAACCCATATGTTGGGCTTAAAATTCTAGTACCTCATCCTATGGGAGACGCATATACTGGGCCCCATGTATTTCAGTACTGATGTGTTTCAGTCAATGGAACACATTGTAAAATACATTAAATTTTCTTTGTGGCTTCAAAAGCTACTACGCACCTTCCACTGTTGTATGTGAACATCTATAACTAATGAAGCAAATGTTTATTTATTTATTTTATTATTTATCCCAGCCCTTTTGGTGAATGGTGTCATGGTCACTTCACAGGATGAGGTGGCTGAGTGTTCTAAAGTGAACACGTGCTACACCTCCATGGGACTGATACCATTCACAGTCAAATACTGAGACATCTACCTCCTTTATTGCTGAACATATACAACCAGATTTGTAGTTACGCCTTCTTTCCATCAGAATGAGGAGATGCGATCATAATCCGTACCTTAAAAGCGGGTGAAAATCGTTTGCTTTCTTCCAGCTTGCTCATTTCCTCAGTATGTCTCAGTAGCTGCGTCTGCAGGTTCAGCATGGCGATTCGTACGGGTTTCTCATAATCCTTGATCACTTGACAGCTAAAGGGCCAACTAAAATCATTTTACACAAGTTTGTCTCTTAGATAATATCAAATGCAATGTGATACAGTCCTGTCTCCTCCATGCTCACAGGAAAACTGCATCCCCTAGGGCTTAGTCCTCAGTGTTACCCTGTTTGCCATTGCTATCAGTGGCCTCACAGGTACGGAACGTTGTCATGTTCTCCATATATATCGGTGACTTCAACATTAATGACAGTTCCCAATTTCTGCCAGCCACTGAACAACTCCAGTTACTACATGAAATGGGAACCACACATACAACAACTCAGATTGCCAGCAGTCACTCATAATTTAAGTATTTTAACTAGAGCCATCTGGAGAGCAGGCAGAATGGCATTGCTTTGGTTTTATTGTTGCCTCATTCATTCAGCACTGAACTATGGGCCCTGTATCTATGCCTCTGCATTGAAGATAATTTTATTTTAACAGTCGTATCCACAATTCTTAAATACGTATCTGTTTAGGGTTCTTAGAACAAGCGGTGTTTGGTTGTGAATCCTTGTTCAAGACTACGTTGTTACAACCCAGAATAGAACAAATTGAATCTTTCTTTTGTTCCAAACTTTTATGTTACCCCAGAATTGTCCCATTTTATTACATGACCTGACACTATCCCCAGTTTGATTTTAATTCTATTTTTCTTGTATATTTAAATTGTTTGCAGTTTTTTGCGACTGAACTGGAGCCCAGTTACTAGTAAAACACACTGCCTTATAATTATGCCTATGCTGTTTACAAAATAGTAAATTAGTTACAGACTGACATTTTTTCTTGTGATAAAGATATTTATAGAGTAGGATGTAATAGTCTCTCTCTCTCTCTTTAAAAAGAGAAATAACTTGTTCTACTGTAACTATGGGTTTGATTGTGTCTTCTCTTTGTTGGTCACATGTTGAAAAGTGTTTCAGAATTCACTTATGTGTAGTCATTTAAATATATTTCAAACTCTGACTGACTGACTATGGCGCACCAGCCCAAAGCCGAGCCTTGGCCTCCTCCCATGCGGGAGGTTTCTTTGTCTTTGAAGTGTGCATTTATGAATAGCGAGTGACAATCCCACTGCCTCAGCACGATTTCTACTCAATCCTGATTTATTTGCTAGAGCCATCTAGTGGTGAATCAGGACAGAATTGGGTGAGAAATGGCTGCTGAATTTTGCATACAAAACATCTCGTTAGGTTCTTTTACATGCCTTAAATCTACAACATGATACTGCTGGCTTTATTTGCCCTCCGAAGGAAGTTTTTATCACCCTCAAAAATCCATCGACCTCGGCCAGGTTTGAACCCGCTAACCTTGATTCCAGTGGCAAGGACGCTAACCACTGGTCCACTAAAGATGACATATTTCAAACTCACTATTTTTAAATGGTCAAAGCATGTTGACCTTCAGCAATTAAAGGTTTCTCATATCTCAGCCTCGTCAGTTATTTCATGAGTACTTACTGTTTTGTTGCTCTGTTCCAGTTTTCTTTAGTATATTCAGTCACTTCTAACTCAAAAGACATTAAACTGTTTTTGTGAACTGCTGTACCCATAAGCACTTTACTTGCAATACTACCAATAGGAGGCACGTTTGCAACTGACATTTGTGTGAGAAGTGACATGGATACTTTCCAAAAATAAACTTATGTTACAAGCACATTGGTCATTTACTGCAGCAATAGATTAGAAGTGAAGCTGTGACTTCACTTTGTATTATGAAGTCTGCGTGTGACATATATGCATGCATGCATACTTCTACTAGCTTATCTGTAACAAAACTTTCATATCTTTTTCTTGACAGCTTCATGAAGTTTATTGTCGTATTTGCAAGAAGAAAAATATACTTTCAGTGGACCAAGCAGAATTTATCAGTTTATGCCAGCTTGTTGAGACGAGGGGTATCCTGAAGGTCCAAGGACGCAAAGAAACAAGGCTGTCAAGAGTAAGTGTTTTCAGATTTTGTAAGTTATAAGTAACTAACTAGATGGCTTACTGAACCCGAAGGTTCATCACCGAATTAACCAAAGCC